CCCTCCAACTCTTTCTCTTATTTACTATTTTATTTGCATATTTAATCTTTGCTGTTAGTTATTAAATTTTCACAATATGTGTAATGCTGCAAAAAAAGTTTGTAATAAGGTTGCTAATCGGGGTAATCCGAGAAATAGAAAAAGAGGTGCTACTTCAACATCTAGTAGTAATTTAAATAATTTTACACATATTTCTGAAATATCACCTGATAATAATATAGATTATGAACAATTACCGGAAGATTTCGGTATAGAAGATAATGAATTAGAAGTGAAGATGAGACACCACTTACACCTAGTAGTGTTGGAGTTGGTAGTAGGGGTGGTCGTGGTGGTAGTAGTAGACCACCTGTGGCCCCGACTACTAATTGGAGAAAAAGAAGTAAGGTTTAGAAATATTTTGACGAAATAGAGAAGAGCAGTTGGTGTTATTCAAGGAAATAATAGACAATCTAGAATTAGGGAATTTAAGAATAAGTGTACCGGGAATAACCTTAACCCCAGATTCATGCCAGATGAAATTGTTACTAGATGGAATTATACATACTTATTTTTAAAATGTTGCTACAAATATAGATTGTCAATAACTGAAGTTGCTAATACGCATTGTACTGATCCAAACCGTATGCTAACAACTATTACTTGGGAGGCCATTAATGATGTTGTTAAATTTTTGCATAAATTTTATACAACTACTGTTGAGTTTTCCTGAAGAATATTACCCTACTGTTACTATGGCTTTAGTACATATAGCTAAAATTTCTTTTCTACTCTCTGAATTTAAGAAGAAAGAAAAATATAAGAATGATGGTGAAAAAAATTCAAGCAAAATTCAAAAAAAAATTCTTTCCAATTCCTCCGATTTACTTAATTGGTGTTGTTTTAAATCTTTCTATTAAGATGTCTGATTGTCACCAATTAATCAATGCTTTATATACTTATATGGAGATTGGACCAACTGAAACCATATATATATATATATATATATATATATATTATTTACAATAATTATATAATTATTATGCAAATATAGTTGATGATGTTGCTCTTAATGTAGGCAATGTTAAACCCACTATGCATTGTACCACTTCTACTGCATCTACTATTATGTATGATAATGAAGGCCTTAATGGTTTTAATATTTGGTCTACATTTCCTAAAACTCAAACCAATAACAGGAACATTGATGAACTTCAATTCTACTTGCAAAAGCAAAAAGAGCCTCGCACAAAGGAATATTCACCGTTGGGATGGTGGCATGAGAATGAAAAACAATTTCCTGTTCTTTCCGCTATGGCTCGGGACGTGCTGGAATGTGCCAATTTTAATTGTTGCATCAGAGAGTGCATTTAGTCAAGCAAGAAAACAACTAGGAGACACCCGTCACTCATTGGGAAGCAATGCTTTGGAAGTTTTAGTATGTTTCAGAGATTGGATTATCAGGGACGTGAAGATGTTGATAGACCAGAAGACGAGGAACTTGGAGATATATTAACACATGGTTACCCATCTGAATTTAACACTCCAGAAGATGGCCAAGAAGTTCATATTGATTATGAAGAACATACTAAGGCAATGCAAAACCTTTGAATTTACTCTTTTTTTTCGTTAATTTACTTGTTGTTAAATGTAAACTTTAATTTGTAAGTTTGAAATAAAAAAAAGCACTTGCAAATTATAAGTGTTATTTTTTTTTTTTTCCATCTTCATTGTATTCTATTATCTTAAATTCTTAATGAAATATTCAAAATTTTAAATATAAGGATTTTAAAGCCTTTGCATCCTTTATTCAAACACTCTTTTTATAAGATTATTTTTTTTTTTATTTTTATTTTTTTTTTATACTTATATAAATTACAATAGTTCTACAAAATGCAAAAAAAAAAAAAAAAAAAACCCGGGCCGGCCCCTTGGACCCGTAACTGTTCCGGTTCAGATTTTACCCGGATAGGCCCGGACCCGTTAAGCCCGATATGGAATAACCGGTAACCGGCCCGATTTTGTAACCGGCCGTTCACTTTTATTCTCGACCCTGACCGGCCCAGCCCACCCGTGAAACATCTTAACTGTCACTATACAAAAAATATACAAAATAGACTGTCACTATACAATAAATATACAAATTAGACTCTCCCTATACAAAAAATATATAAAATAAATATTTCGGGCTATTAGATATAATATGTTTAGGCCGAAGGGCCATTTTCTGTCAATGGGCAAAACTATGGGCTATAGAGGATAGTTTTCTCAATATTATACTGCGTACTTGATATTGCGTCAAAGAACTAAATTCTACTGCGATTTTACGAAGTTGGTTTTGTACTGATGTCATATAACTTGATTTGCTCTGTGATCCTAGATAAACTTTGGCAAGTGCATGTATATATTATGCTTAAAGCAACTACAAATATCATTTTTCTTGACTTACAATGGTTAAATTTTGAATTCAGCATGTTGTCTCTTTTTTTTTTTTTGTGTGTGGTGGAAATCTAACCATTAGAGACTCTCACGTGAAGATGATAAATTTCATTAAACAAAAGTGCATCTTAATTAAGTACCAAACTTGGCATGTACATATATGATGCGTGTAAGCAATTGAGAGGGGAAAAAAGGGACCCAATTAGTTCATCATTTGATGCATAAATTCTGGACACATTCAAACACAAATTAAAGCAACTTTGAGTCTTTGATAACTTGTTGAATAGAATTTGCAACCCAACTAGGTATACGTAGCTCTTTTCAATTAATTAATTCATCATTTCCAGTGTCATATATATCAAATTAAAGCTTCTAAGTTTCACTTTGGCATAATCAATGAATGAAGAAAGAAATGTCATTTGCTCTTTGAATCTTTGAAAACGAAAGAAAGATGAGCTTTCCCTGATTTCAAGAATTCTTTATGTACTCTGCCAATAAAGCAAGAATTAATTATTACTCCTTTCTTTCAGAATATTAGTAGTTATTTTAATAAAACTGAATTTGTATGAATCCGGTACAATAATAAACAAATAGAACAATCCTAAGTAGGAAGGGAAACGATTAATCATTGATGCCTTAATTGAACTCGCGTGATCAAACCGATGGACAAGGGAATTGCGTAAATAATGAGACCGGCCTAATCTAAAGTCGAAGCTCTTCTCTTTTTTGATGACGAATTTTGATTGACTGACACTAGAAACTGATTCAGAGAAAGTAAAAAGCATAGCATGAGATAGGCGGCCTCATCATAGAATCATATTATCAGTGAAAGTACATGGGCAAATCCAAAGAGGAGCCTTTTGATAAAGTAAAAGATATGATGGGATTAGGAACTAGATCCTTTTTTAAACCTAGGAATATTTATCCTCAACCTCTTCTCTAAAAGGCTAAAAGGTAAAGAAAACCTTTGTCTATTTTCTTCTCTCTTTTGTGTTTAAAACTTTAAATGAATCCGTGACAAATGAAATTCTGATGCCGAAAAGGGCTCTAATACGCATCAATAATAATTTCTTGTCTTTTGACCACCATATAGCCAAGTTACAAATGAAGTCCATCGTCATCAAAGGGTATATAACCAGAATTTTTATAATTTTATTTTTTTATATAACCAGAATATATTGAGAGTATGGTAATTAATACTTTCAACGTCTAACATAGAACTTTGCCAAACAACTTGAGATTGTTAGAATACTTCCATTTAAATATTTTGAAACATGTTGAAATTACACTAGAATATAATATTAAAATGCTATAACAAGATCGATATTATTACGTAAGATCTACAAAGAGCAAACTAAATAATGTATTATTTACGATAACAATTTGCAACGAGAAGGATGACAAATAGTGGTGGAAAAAATAATGAATATAATACAAGTATAGCGACACCTCTTGAAATAATGATCAAAAAGAAAAATAAATTTGAAACAGAAAGTAAAGTTTGAAAAAACACCACAAATTCATATTCAAAATAATAGAATTCATGTGATTATAAGTCAATAGTGCTTGACTTGTGCAAAATACTGCTTATATCACTTGCGACAAACTAAATCTTACCCATCCATTTTAATTTACAGTTATTAGCTTCACAAACTTCAAAGAATGGGCATATCATGATGTGTACGTACTAGTTTTTCTAACAAATTGAAGCCTCCCATGCTTACTGCTTATGTCCGAAGTCAGGATTTGAACTTTATGGATTCTAAATTCTAGGATAGCGACATAAGATGTTAGTAATTGGGTTCTGAATTTCATTTTGTACGAGTTAAAGTTAATTTCTTAATATATGCAGAGTTTGAACAAAAATTACCCGATTCGGCCGAACCGTAGTCTCCGACTTCTAGCTCTGCCCCTGTGTCCTACTTCCTTAAGAGTTCCAAAGGCAAATTCCAGGTGAGGTTCCTATTTAATCAATCACTGTTCCTTAATTGGGAGAATCGAGCTTTTACCTGCTCAAATATAAGAGAAGTTATTTCCACCATTGAATGTTGAAAATGCCTAAAGATACCTTTTCATAGGAGAATTTTCTTTTCCTATCTTGATGTGACTGGAAATCAACAATTCCTTCATTATTTTACTTACAACAAAGTTAAAAAAACAAAAGAAGAAAAATAAAAAAGGAAATATCTCTTTTCAAGTAGAAAAGAGTTTGACTGCAAGACTTAGATACATTGCTAGACCATAAAGCCAAGTTATTAATTAGCATGACTATCACATAAGATGACATATGGAATTAAGATTACCACTAAAGTTATGAAAGACTACAATAAACAATGGAGTTACATTTAGGCTTTAACAACAAGAGTTAAATTTCTAAAACAACGACAATAATCAACAGAAAATGACTTCTCACCAGCTCAAGATTGCAAACAACACCTAATGCCTAAGGACAAAAGTCATAAAAACATGTACTATTTAGAACAAAATCATGATCAGCCGGTTATAATTTCATAAATAAATCACACCCTCTTCCATTATTTTATAAACTAAATTAAAATACTTCTTCCTCTTCAAAACTATAAATATATACCCTCTTTGGGAGAAAACAAGAAAGACATGTCATACCAATAAACAACCACAAAATGAAGCCTCTTTCCTCTTTCTTCCTTCTTCTGTCCATATTTCTCTCCTTATTTTTCCTACTATTCCATGGCTCACAAGGCCAGAATTTAATACAAAATACTTGCAAAACATGTTCAAAAGATGATCCAAATATAAAGTATGATTTTTGCACTTCATCTTTACAAGCTGCTCCAGCCAGTCAATGTGCTACTCTTCGTGGACTCGGGATGATTTCGATTAGGTTAATTCGATACAACGTTACTGATACAAGGTGTCATATTAAGATTTTAATGAAGGACAAGAAGTTGGATCCTTATGTAAGAATGTGTTTGAGTGATTGTTTTGAACTTTATTCAGATGCTATCCCGTCTATCAAGCTTGCTATGAAGAGTTATAACGCGAAGAAATATTATGATGCTAATATACAAATAAGTTCAATTATGGATGCTGCTACGACATGTGAAGATGGATTTAAGGAGAAAGATGGTGTTGTGTCACCATTAACAAAGAGAAATGAAATCACTTTTCAGTTGTCTGCACTGGCACTTTCTGTTATGAATTTTATTAAGAATAATGGGTCAACTGGTTGATATTTTATATTCAAGAATTCTTTATTTTGAATGTTAATATTCATCTATGTTAGATTTTCCTTCATAAGGTAGCTTCTCTATCTTTCTTCTCCTTTTTTTTTTTTTTTTTGGTTATTTCCTTGAATTTCTGCACTTAAACTGTTTGTTTTGTATGACCTATATTTCTCAATTTAGTAAAGTTTCCATTTAAATAAAATACTGGTAAAATTCAAGATGAAGGGAATTTTGGAATGACTTAAGGCGTCAATGTCACAATGTCATCTCGTGAAACAAAAGTACAAAACCCCATCTTGTTGAGTTGGATTTGATAGGAACTGAAGCCTTTGTTTCATTGTTTGTTGGCCTAATGATCAAGTAGATAAAGTAGTGGAGACTTCGTATTGACATATTGACGCTTTTCCACATAGTAAATTGCACATATTTTTAAAGCTCCAACTCTTCGCACAAAAAAATTCTTTATATGTTTGTGTAACTATATTCTCAAAAGGCAAAAGTCAGTCTTGCTTGATTTTCCGGCTAACACAATATGCATATATAATAGACTGGCATCACTTAAGATAATATAAAATCCGTATCAATTTAAGACATGAAATAAATTTTAACTTTATTATAGTTCTAGACCCAAACTCACTTTTGTACTAGTAAAATTGCAACAATAGACCAACATATACATATATTTAGTGATGGGAATTTGAGTATTTTTGGAGCATTATGTGTGGTTCATGGGCAGTCCGATGCACGAAGCATCTCGCACTCACGCAGGGTTCGGGGAAGGGCCGCACTCCTATAGTGATATCATGTAGACTGCAGTGGCGGATCCAGACTTTTATACAAGCGGGTTCAAACATACACTGAAGTCCTAAAAAATAATCGACTTGTAAAAGCGATATTGAGTTAACAAACAAACAGAGTTTACCTAGTGCTCTTTATTTTGGTTCTAACAAAGCGTTAAAACCAAATTGCCCGTGACTCTTTATTTTATTTGCAAGTCATACTGTTCTCAGACACACACATATATATACCTTTACAATTGACCAAGTTATTGAACTTCAGAAAATTTTACAAATTTCACTCTGTAACAAACATAATTTGATCTATATTAAGATACTAAACTCTATTTATTAATTAATTAATTCTAATTTATTTTGCACGAACTATTAACCCAAAACACAGAAGAGAGCTAAGATAAATTAATAATATCATATTGAAAGTTCCATAACTATGGAAAGATATTAAACTAAAATAAGCAATAAAAGAAAAAGATGAAGTGCATGGTGATAACGTGGAGGGCCAGCAACTAAACCGTCGGCATCTTGAACAAGTGAATTAAAACAAAATAATGCTCTTCCGGGTTCGAACACGCAACAAGTAGCACTAGTTAATGAGAGCCCACTTGGACCACCCGACCAAGGCACAACTTTCGTTAAGCAGGTTCAATTCTTATATTAGCTTTATTCTTCAAAAAATAATTTCCACACAAATATAGTACAAAATATTTACGAAGCGGGTTCAGTTGAATCCCCTTGAACCAATGTGGGGCCGCCCCGGTAGACTGCCTATCCTAATGCAACTCAGTAGCTGCTTTCACGGTTCGAAATCATAATCAATAGGTCATATCGAAATATTTTACAGTTGCTCCAAGGCTCTACTTACTGTGATTCATAAACAAAAGGGTAAATGTGCTATCAAGGCAGTAGTGATGCTCAAAATTCTCCCATGAATTTCAATGGCCGAATTCGGGTCCGGCGGGGAAGGCGGAAATAACGAATCATAGATTTTAGTGTGTTTTTCGGCTATTCCAATATTCTGTTTCTAAAGTGATTTTTCGCTTTTATTTGAAATGACAATGCCTCCTTCAATCAATCAGCAAAAGAAACAGAAAAAAGATGCCATGACATAGTACAACGAAACTCTCTTTTATTCTGTTTAACCATATGATTTGAGAAGCATACTGCTTGGACTAATTCGGATTGGGATTTTTTCCTATCTATACCATATATGAAACCTTATTACTAAAAATGTGCATATTTTCATTATTACCCGCCATGTTTATATTTTTCCTATAAAATTTATACCATTCATTAAATACCCAATATTAAGAGTTGATTCCTTCCAAATTAGGCGCCTACAAATCTGGGATAAATATTTGAATAGCTTATTCCTTCCAAATTAGGCGCCTAAAAATTTGGGACTAAATATTTTTTCATATTCACATCAGATTTGTTTCCTCCCTTTTCTGCAGGCTTCTCTTTCATCATTTTTCACGTATTTCTATTTCTCTAATACCATTCTCATTTGAAGAATGACTCAAGAATGTGCAAAGAAGATACAGATGCTACTAGCGCCACAAACAAGAAGCTCGAAATAGTAATGAATAAAACGAGATAGATGCAACAGGCCACTTCTAGGTTAACAGAAAACAACAGGGACGTTGCAACAGTGAGTAGATTTGAAGCTGAAAGAATAGAAAAATATATTGGTGAAATGAAACTATCTAAGTTAAACATCTGCTTCCAAACACAAAAAAATGTTGACTACAAAATTTTCTCCTAATCTACAAAAAATCTATAAATAAACTACAAATCAGTTTACGTATGTATAAAGCAGTATTGTTTTGAAGGGTATCTACAAAATTACTATTATACTACAATTACACTACAATCTATGTTGAAAAAAGATGTTGACTACAAAATTTTCTCTTTATCTACAAATTTCTACAAATAAACTACAAATCAGTTTAAGTATTGTATAAAGTTGTATTGTTTTTAAGGGTATCTATAAAATTATTACATTTATACTACAGTTAAACTATAATCTATGTTGGGAAAAAATGTTGACTACAAAATTTTCTCTTCATCTACAAAATTTCTACAAAAAAAAAATTACAAATAAACTACAAATCAGTTTAAGTATTGTATAAAGTTGTATTATTTTTAAGGGTATCTACAAAATTACTACAATTAAACTACAATCTTATGTGGGAAAAAATGTTGACAACAAAATTTGCTCTTCATCTACAAAATTTCTACAAAACTACAAATAAACTACAATTGCACCCCATACACCCAAAAAATTGCACGAGATCGACTAGGATTAAAAAGAAGAGAAAATGAAGAAATTGTCGATGAGAAGCTTTAAACTCGAGGAGAACCAAATAGAAGGTGAATCAAGAGTTTAGGACTGAGATATTGATTTTGCTGACTTCATCTTCTTTTTCAGATCTAGCTAGTGTTTTGATTTTGATTATTCTACATCTTGATGGTTACGGCCTTTTGAAGCTCGCCGGAGGAGGTTACAGAAGATTCATATGGCTACCCCACAAATTTACAATTGAGAATTGTCTATGTTGAAAAACAATGGGTTTCATATTGAATCTCTTTGGCTAAAAATCTGATTATAAAAAATGGGTCTCATTTCTGTATTTTTTGAGAAGAAGAAGGAATGGAGAAGAGAAAGAAATGGGAGGGGGAAAATGGCGCTGGTCAGATCTTGGGAATTAAGGAGAGAGAGAAACGTGGGATATATGGACACCTTTAATTAAGGAGTAAAAAACTGCCAATTAATTATGCCTCTAAATTAATTATGGTATATAAATGGTAATTTGGTATGCTGAAATGTAATTAACTCAAACCTTAAACATTGAGGGTAATAAGGTTTCATATGTGGTATAGGAAGGTAAAAATCCCATTCGAATTTACCTTTTTTTTTCTTACTTAGTGAGCGTATATGTTTTGGAGCTCCGATTCCGACTAATTTAGATTCACGTCACACAAAAACATTCTTTATCAAGATTTTTTCATCATCAGGGCTTAAATCCGAAACTTTTAAATAATGATGGAGAGAACCTATTAATCCCTCCCTTCACAGTAGATTTACAATGAATAGCATTAGTAAAAAAAGAAAAGGCTCCTTTTAAAAAGTTTCTTCATGTCTGAAGTTCAAATTCAAAATCTATGATTAAATGTGAAGAATCTCAATTATATCACTCACTTTTTTCTCAATAATAATACAATAATTTCTCACCAAAAAAAAAATAAAGTAGTGAGCATATGGGGACTTCTTTTTGCTCGCCTTCCCCGCCCTGTTCTTAACTGAGATAGAGTTGGCATAAAGAGAAAATCAAAACAACATTCATTTTCAATTTCTTTTGGAAAAATCTTCTATCTATCGATTCGTAATACTTCGTCGTCGTTGTACTTCTAAAGAATAGATTTCACGTGGATTTAATTTCAGTATAATGATATTTAATAATCTCATGTTTTACGTAATAGATGTTTTGAATCAGATAAGAATATTTGAAGCTCAGAATATATGAAAGTACAGAAAAAGTTTTTTTTTCCTGTTAAGAACAAATTAAATGAATAACAGCGTAACATTTTTAGAAAAATATTAAAGATAGATAAAAATATAAACACACGGGCATATATGATATAACTTGAAGTAATATCAGTTCAAACATCGAGTTCAAACATTGAGTCCATTACTCAAATGGTCACTAAACTATCCCAAATTATCTCATAAAGTCACTTTACTTTCGTTTGTAACAACAAAGTCACTAAACTATGCCTATTGCACTCAGAAGGTCACTCAACTAGATTTTCTAAATTTTGGATTGTCAAATACCTATTTTACCCTCTAAATTATAAACATTTATTTTCTTTTTATTTTTTTAAAAACTTTTTAATATTATGAAACCATTACGCCATTTTTTACTATGCTCATTATTTTGTTATTCCAACATTATAAATGCTTAAATACTTTTTATTTTATTTTTTTAATTTATAAATAATATTTATTTATTCTATTGGTAAGTCCATAATATAAATTAAAAAGGGAAAATCATAATATTGAAAAGTTAAAAAAAATAAAAAAAGATAAATATTTATAATTTAGAGGGTAAAATAGGTATTTGGCAATCCAAAATTTGAAAATTCTAGTTGAGTGACATTTTGAGTGCAATAGGCATAGTTCAGTGACTTTGTTGTTACAAACGAAAGAAAAGTGACTCTAGGAGATAATTTGAGAAAGTTGAGTGACCATTTGAGTAATTGAGTCTTCAAACATCTTGGTTTCTTGTGTCATTTGAAGGAT